GTCGGTATAGCAGGGTGTAGTTGAGCAGACACGGCATCGTGCGCGAAGCAACATCTAGTTGACTCGAGGTAGCACTACGGGGACAAACCGTTTGAGTCATGGAAGTCTACACCGTTTTTTTCCACGGTAATAAACTCATACGGGGCACTTGTCAACCAGACGTGCTCTCGCTGCGAGGGTCCAGGGGTATTTTCTCGAGGCATCTACCAGTCCAGTAGTTGAAGGGAGAAGGTAAAGGAGGAGGGATCAGAGAAGGAAGGAAGGAAAAGAAGGAGGGAGGAAAAGAAACGGGAAGAGAAGAGAGGCTTCCCGGTTGACAAGTGCCTGTTTGAGGTGCTGCGCCTCGCATTTTGAACTAAATCCGATTCTATAGCGTAGTTCACAAAGAACGGTGAACGGTTAGGTGAAGTGAGTTATGGGTTCTGGAACGAAAACAAGTAGAAAAATAGTGAACGGTTGGGAAATAGAAGAAAGATTCGATGGCTTGTTTGAGGAACGGACAAGTTTTCGGGTTCTGGTGCGTCAAAATAAGGGCAATGCTATCAGAAAGTCTAACCAAAGTCTAATTAACGGGGAGTACCGATAAAAAAACTTATCCCGAGCTATTATTCACAATTTTTTTTCTTCTGCTCTCTACAACTTAGCCAATTTAGAAGGAAACTGTAAATGACCACGACAACAACGCAACAAAATCATGTCTAACATCGATATTCTCGGATTTTGTCATTAAACACATCAAAACTTTTCATACCAAGTAGTGGTCGTGCAGATATTTGAAGGCTGCTTTTGTCTTTGCCCAAAGATAGTTACGTCCTTCGGAAATATTAAGATTGATTGCGGGAAGATCGGGATCACTTTCAGATGACATGAAAATGTATCTAAAACATAAAACCACTATCAAAACAGAAGTAGACGCATGGTAACGGGAACAAGTGTAAAAAAATTAACTAACTTATTGCAACGTTTAGCCCATGTAGCCTTTACGTGTTTAGCTCGTTTGTCATGGTTCTGTTTTCCAGTGAGAATCCAGCAGAAAACTCGAACTTTCTCAGCTACTACGTCGGCTACTATACGTTCTCCTGTAAAATATGCAGTAATATTGACAAAAGAGCACCGTAGTGCATTCGAACCACCTGGGAACATGCATATGTGATTATAAATGCTTCGAACATTATGCGAAAAATGACAGGTGGAAATTAACAAATACTACTGGTAATACAAAACCATGTAGGAGCCTTCCAAGAGATTTCAGGTACATTTTCCAAAAAACTAAGACGTGATCACTGTGTATTCATTTTGTCGAAAGAAATCCCATGAGCAAATTAAGAGCGCTCTCAAGAGAAACCGAGTAATCGTTTCCTCAATTGAGCTTACAGAAAGAGCTATGAAATTTTTCATTGGTAAGCTTTCGCTGTGGTAACAGCTTCTTCAGACCTCAAATAAAACAAGCATACATAGTACTTCAATTCCTTACAACAATCAAGCTGATCAAAGTACTAACCAGACTGGCCCTGGTTAGTACTTTGATCAGCTTGATTGTTGTAAGGAATTGAAGTACTATGTATGCTTGTTTTATTTGAGGTCTGAAGAAGCTGTTACCACAGCGAAAGCTTACCAATGAAAATTTCATATCGAGTACTCATTGAATATTGTTGAAGAAAACATTAGAACGTATGAGGCTCAGGGATAGCTCCATTCTATCATATTTTACAGAAAGAGATGGATTTTTCGGGGCAAATCGCCACACTATGACGCCTTTTGCTGGTCATCCGATGCGAGGACGCCCTTAGCAAAAAATTAAGCGATTATTTTCTCAAAGAAATGGAACAGTATACAAGGCTTCAGACCCGTCCGAATTACTTTTGATCTATAGTGCCATTTGGGTTGAGACAGGTCACGATACCTTTCCACTGGAACTTTTGGACTGAAGAAAACTACCCGTGAACCAACCGAAAAGCTATGAAAGATACAGTTAGGACCGTAAAACTGACCCCAAGCAGGACTCAAAACAGCATCTCACGCCCGTCAAGGCAGTATGTTGACCATTTGCCCAAAATGACCGTCTCCCACTCCTGACTTGATAATTTTGAACCACAGCCTCGGGGCCTGGTTGTGCAATGGTCAGCACACAAGCCCAGCAAGTTGAGGTATAGACCCAACTTTGCCTAGGGTAATGTTTTTCACTCATGAAGGAACATTCTCTTGATAGCTTGTGGAGCACGAGCTGTAACGATGAATAGCAGTCATCATAAGAAAACCCACTTCAAAACCACCGAACCAGAAAACCACGAAGAGTACTGAATAAGACGGCACTTCGAAAGGGCTACAGACACGGTCTAGAACTAAGAGAATTCATAAGCTACCCATCCATAGTGATAGTGACCTCGGACAACCACTTATAGAGATGCACAACCATCCCCCTGAAATGTGGTGCTGTGAATGGAAGCTGACCCTTTTCAAGATGCTTTCTTCGAAAAATACAAGGAAAAAATCTAAATAACTCCAGGAATTTGCAATAGGACATAAGGAAATCTGGCGAAAGTTTGGCGAAAGTTTCAAGAAAAAAGTACAATTTTAGAAACATAAGAAAAATTGTATCTAAAACTATTCACCGATATGGTCATGAGAACTGCCGTTTGCATGGAATTCGAGTGCTTCGTTAGGGGCATCCTCGTCGTCTAACTCGCCTTCCTCATGAGCGTCATGATGTCCATGTCGATGTGGGCGTAACGCTGGGACGTTGCCCGATGGGTAATACTGAATAAAACGGAGTGAAACGCTATCTTCAATGTTTTTAAATGTATTAATGATGGAAGAAACGTTTAATATCGAGTTGGCCATTGAACCCGAAACCTAGAAGACTACTAGAACTAAAACAGAACTGGAACACTATCACGCTCGGTAAGTGAACTGGGTATCCATCACAGAAAACTATTTAGCGCGTTCCGGACCATGTGACACACATGCATTTTTCTCGCTGCACTGTATTATATGGTTTATTTGGCATTAGTTCTATGTTCTGAACTTACCAGAGCACTGTGGACACGGATGCAGCTGGCGGACAAAGAATGCAGCTATATCCAGGTAGGGAAGTGATAAAAAACAACAGATGAAGTTTACTGAGTAAAAAGTGATAGAATGATAGCGCAGGTCCTAGAAGGCAGTTGCTATGTTCCGAGCTGGCCTGGAAAGCCTGCGAGACGTACTCAACTATTAGGAAGTCGGCGGAAAGTTTTGATATTCTTTGAATTAATTTGTACAACAGCTTATTCGGAGGGCATTGGAGCGCTAAAAATCAACATTATTGATGGAACATTTTCCGGCTGCTTCATTTCCGCCAACTTCTGGTAGGATTACTTTGGCTGGAGTTAGAATGAAACGCTGTACTGAGAAGCGGGGCGTATAGCCGAAATCTCAAAGCTAAACTTCCACATCGAAAAAGCGGTCGAGCTTTAACACAAAATAATTTTATAGGGTGTTTCGTCCAGCATAGCAGACAGCGTCTCATTCCCGATTCGACTGACACAGTAGCCAGAATGGTGAAGGTGAAGTAAAAGGCAATGGGAATTGTGGCACCCATAGCAATTTTCAGTTAACTTTTTCTCATACCGAGAATAACACCAAGCAGGACCAGTCTAAAGGAGTCAGGAGGAGGAGGATCAAGTATGATTTGATCTATAAACATTCCTCTTTTTCTCCACCATTCGACATAGCGTTATGTGTCGGCCCCGTTCGCGTCATTAACACTCCTCAGTCCACTCAAAGTGAAACTCCCATCAAAACTTCGAACAACTTAAGGAGATGCGCGAACCCCTTTGGCATCGAAGAATTAATTGACATGCAGAGCTTTTCCTACCAGGTTTGGCTAGAATATGCAGCGCCATCCAGGACACAGTTGCCGGCGTTGCGAGTCCCGAGTCCCGGCGAGTATTTCCTTTTTGGGAATAACGGAAGACTTCTGCGAAAAAAAAAACTCTTGAAAGGTGCTGCGATGTTGGGAGATTTTGAGAGGGCGATAGAACAGAAGGTGTGAGTGGAGATGGGGAAGATGGTGAGGGACGTATCATGGGAAGAAATTTTCGGCAGAGGCATATTTGCAAGTATTTTCCCCGGCGGACCGAAGGAATGGGCGCTTGACGGGCGCAGTTTGTCGACGGGAGGGGGGGGGGGCTTCTTGCTTCCCATGATGTGTCGACGGCATCTGGTAGGCCTTTTCTGCGCAGTTGACACAGTTTTAGGATGGTGGCTAGACTATCTTGCACCAGCTTCACAAGGGTTCACAAGTTTTACCAGGGTGAGATTTGTAAACCGGAACTAGGGAAGCAATGGTAGTACAAAATGCCCCCCCCGTCGCTAAACAGCGCCGAAATCCGGCCCCGGATACCATTGGGTACCGCACCAGGACAACTACGTCCTATTGAGCCCTTCCTTCACTATATCGGATCCCGCCCGTCGACAAACAGCGCCATATTTTTGTTAATGACTGTTATGAGCCATCATGTGACGTCGTGGCATATCCTAACACGTAATTGCGGACTCATACTGGACTAGCGCTAATAACAAAATAAACGTTTTTCTATTTACTTTAGAGTTTATTGTTCATCGGACATATGGAAGGGCTTTAGAAATGACTTCATTAAACAGTAGAACGTACTGGATACACTCCGCTAGCCTGTGGACCCACGATAAGTGACAGGCAAAGTCCTATGACAACGCCCACGGCAACGTAGACGATCGGAGATCCTCGAGGTAGCTTCATATCACCGCGGCATCTGAATTTATAATGAAACTTAGTAATAAATATGAAAATCAAGGCGCAAAAACGAGCATTTCACAACGAAGTGAACTAAAAGAAGGTCGCACAAAAAATAGGTTAAAAGACAGATCGCGAAAAAGGAACTAAGGAAGTCTGTGACGGCTAAATTACCATATTAATGATGCTTTTAAAATTCTAATGAGATGCGTTTTAGTTCACAACGAGTTCCCACGAGCGAATCATTCAGCGTATTGGAATAATCAATGCACTCTTACATAAACAGCCCATTTCCATAGAAAGTCCGCAACATCATTACGGACTATTGCGGGCAATGCCATGAATAAACAATGAGCATTCAAAAATTATTAGTGTAATACGGTTTATTTGTATAGCTAAGTGGTATTTAGAAGGATATTTTCAAGTCATACCATTCGAAGGATGTCTTTTTCTCCCGTGGAAGCTGTCGTAGTAGAAGAGGAACGGGTGGGCTCCCAACTGTGGACAAAGGGAAAGGTAATCGCCAATACAGGCTCCTATACAGGCTGCTTGTCCGTTCTTTAGGAGAAATGTTCTTCTCCTAAAGACTGGAAGAGCTATTAAAGTCGAAAATTTCCGTGACATACCGTGTTTGGGGCGCAAAACCCTCGAGCTTGGGCGGAAGGAGGGGCAGGGGTAGAATTCCTTATTTTACGCCATTAAAAGGCTTTATGAGTTGTAACTGATAGGTGCAATAGATTGAGAGGTTCAAAGATGAAACTGATGACGATTTGACTACTGAAAGGCAGTCCATAGCAAAGAATAGTGAAACGGTGAGTGGCGCCGCTCACTGATCATTAGGCTCGTGAGCTCGGATCGCGGCCGAAGGTTTCAGCCAAGCGTTTCTTCTGGTTTTTTTGCGTTTTTGTCTTGACCAGCTGCTGATTGCTAAGGGATATCTGTGATTCACATAGTGTCGCAGTTTAGGTCTTGTGAAGCGCTCCTCCTTTTCAGCCTGATAGCTCGCACCCCTGTCCGCACTCTCCCTCCCCAACCATTATAGCCCCTGTGAGCTTCTGAACGGAAAAAGTAGACAAGAAAGATATGAAAGCCTCCCAGCTATGTTAGACCGCGTTTATAGTTTGCCGCTCCGGCGCAGGGCACAGCATCGTTGTGTGAAACCACAGGGGGGGGGGTGGTACTTTTTGCTTGGGGGAAGGGGGGTTTTGTATTTGTTGGAGGAGAAATGTTATTTTGATAGTTGGTTTTTTCTGCGCTCACGGATCGTTGTATAAGGGGGGGCGGGGTCGGTACTTTGGTTCCATTGTTCGGGAGAGGACGGAGGTCTCGATTAACGTTTCGCGCTTCTAGAGTGGGTGGTTGACTTTATGGTGTACTCTCTGTTTCATCGCGTAACTGATCCGCGCCTACCCCCCGCCCCCCCCCCTTGCTTCGAGGCAAAATTTTTGGGAAAAGTAGGGAACTTTTCGGGAAATTTTGGAAAAAAGTGGCTGGACGTTGGGGAAAATCTGAAAATTGGTAGAGGGCCTGTTTCCATGTGCCTATTTACCCACCCCCCCCCTGCTCGACGGCTCGATTCGATGAGGAGGGAATGATGTGCCCTGGTGGCCATTATTCGTAATGTGATGTCATTAAGTGGTGCAATATGGCAGTCAAAGTATGAGCACAGCTTTAGCGTCAGGGAAAATTTGATCGACACTCCACATCCCTCAATCAATTGGCAAAGAGCCAACCTCGCCACAAATACTCCCGCGATCCAGCCAACACCCGTTCTCGAGCTTCCGAGCAGCTGGTCCGGATTATGAAGGCCTCCGACTAGTTACGTCGTAAAATCGAGCCACGAGCCGGTTTTCACCTTTTGGAGATGGTTATTTGTTTGGAATGACCGCTGTAAAAAGCTGACGCTACGACAAACAAGGATGGTACTAACGTTCAGTTGCCAAAAGAAATCTCATGGATTGGATCGACTTTTTCATTAATGCCGGGAATCGATTTTCAAAGTCCAGTGGGATACAAGGCGCTGACAGCCATCTACCCTTGCCCGGCAGTAGGGCACATTAGAGTTGAGAATTCCTCGACGAAGGGGTGGGTTTTAGTTTTCTGAAAAGCGACAATGCATAGGCCTGCTCATAGCCGGTGGCACGCTTTAGCGCAATTCGGATACGGGGGGGGGAGGGGGCTTTGTATGGCTAACATCTATTATTACGATGCACTTTGTAGAGGCGCTGTGAGCTCCCTAAAGCTGTGGCAATTAGCAGGAGTTCGCGCAGAAGTCTAGCAGTTATAGAAGGTGGAACGTATAATAAACGGGAACTAGCAAGAGCCCCACCCCGCCCCACTTCTCTAAACCCGCACAGCGCCTTGTTTTACCAGATCTGACGATCTATCATATGTATCCCTTTTCGGATTGAGAGATTTTAGACCAGGGATCGCATTTTGTGCTCCGACCGGTCGCTTTTCGTCATCTTTCACTAGGAAATTTACCGCCAAAATTGGAAATTTTGATATAGGTTGGAAGGAAAGTCTTCTCACTGTTGTGACTTTTTTCTTTTTTTATTCTAACGTCACCGTACAGTGGAAATCAGACAACCAGATAATACCGTCATAGTTAGCCTTTATGCTGCTTCACCTAATGGACAGGTAGCATTCCCCTCTTCCAGAACTGAGGAGGCTGGGAGTAAAGTCAGCAGCCTCTCGACTGATGTCATCAAAGTTGCTAAAGTTTTCTTAGCTAAGAAAGTTAAGGAGCAAAAGCTAGGACGTATCAGAAGAATATGATGAGCGGGGACTGGTCTCCCAGCCTTGCTCCTCAATTATTTAGTAGGTCTCCATAGCAGGTATGGGGCCTCACGTACAACGAACGAGGTGCCCCGAAGCTTGTCTCCGGTCATTTTTCTCCAACAATTTCCACTCATTTCAGGAGATGAGAGACACAAATGGTAGCGCTCTGTTCTTCAGAGCAGCCCGTTCTGCAGCATGCCCCCGCGTCTCAAGAGCAGCAGAGGAGAACTTTCTCCGGAATACATGTCGGGTTTGGACTGCTAGGATGGATCTTTTCCTTGAGAGGGACATACGGTACTGTGTGGTTTGAAATGACAGAGGACCCATTTCTCACTAGAAACTCCTTCTGACAAGAGAGGAGAAGGGGAGACTGACCAAGGGGTACCCGGGTGCGCAGCGTGCCATCGGTATGAGTGATCCATCGAGCCAGTACTTTTTGGTAGTCAAGGGCTTACAGGCGGTGGACGACTGTCAGTTAGGTACATCCGAGTCTTGTCGCAAGACTGCGGGTGGTAGCCTCTGGATCCTCCTTGACTGCTTCGAGAATGGTGGATTCTCGCACTCTGTGGGCCGCCCCAACCAAGGTTTGTCTTCGAGGATCGTCGTGTCTCCTTTCGCGAAGCGAGCGAACCAGAGGTGGACGGTCCTGATGGTAGCGGTGTCCCCAGGCAATGCACTGCTGATGTTGCGGACAGCTGCCGTGGTGCGGGGGGCCACCGATAAATGATGATGACCCGAAGATGCTCCTGTGAAACTGACATCGTAATTAGACCCAGGAAAGAGCAGGCGCCCTCACACACCTCTTGCAGGAAAGCTCCTAGAATGTTCTACAAGCATGGCATGTTACATCATGTTCAAGCATCGAGAATCAAAAACTGTGAAGCTTTTCAAAAAACACTGACAGAACTTTCCTTCCAACTTATATTTTAAAAATTATAGCACAAGAGGAAATGGCTATGTTTCAGATTTCCAGTTAAATAAAATCAGGTTGGCAGGGAAGAAAAGATAATAGAGAAAGGCAGGAAAAATCGCAGGAAAGCCGCAGACTGAAGGGAAGGGTAATGACGGAATGGGAATATTCAGTATGAAAACTCATGGCAACGAAAATGGCATCGCTGATTTATTGAGAGGGAGGAGCCTGAACAGGCCACGCCACGACACGGGGGTATAGGAAAAACGTACGTTGAGAAAAAAATCCGATGCATACCATTAACGGTCGTAAATACTGAAATCCTGTAATCGCCGACTGAGGCGTGGGATTTAAAGCGCGCTTGAAACAGGGAGTTTTCAAAAAAATGTTCCAATATACTATATTCGCAACGTGCCCAGGGCCCCAAGGGAAGCACGGATCAGCTGAATCTCCATTCTCATTGAGTTTATTCAAGAAAAAAAATGATAAAAATGGTAGAAATATGAGGGCTTCAAACTTGATCAGTCCTTTACAAGAACGCCATGCATTCCACTTTCATTCAAAAACGTCACCTTGAATGCGATATGACCTATACAATTACAACAATACGAGATCAGATGATGTAAAGTTAGTGTTTTTATCTTTCCGACTAGTTTGTTATTATTGGAACAACCCAGGGAGATGGAAGGCCTGATTAGTCAGAAAACGAACTGATCATATCACAAGAATGCTGAGTTATGGGCAAAAGTCGGACCACGGAGGGGATTCGAACCCGCATCTTCTGCTTACCGGGCACACTCAGCTCAATGGCTATTTGTGCCATAGCCTTACAGCACTCACACGTTCAACGTGATGAGCCGGTTAGCCGATATCGGCAGTGAACCGCAAGGCTGAAGGCTTTTTACAAGTTTCAAGCTGTTATTGTTTGTTAACTGCTGTTTAATCAGTTGGTAATTAAAAGTTATCGCTTTTGTATCCGCGTACTGCGGGCGTTAAACAGCAGTTACCAACTGATCATAAGTTTTGATCATAAGTTTAACCGCCCCCCCCTCTCATCCAACAGTGAGTGGGGTAAGCAGCCCCATTATCCTCTACAGCACCTCCGCCTTCAAGAAAACCTGGATCGAGATCCGCCTCCAAGAGAACCTAAATCAAGAAAGTGGCACATCTAAGGATACGCCATACACACGTGATTCGGTCAAAAAGAAAAGATAATTGAACAGAAATAAAGCCCCTACAATGGTCGACAAGGCCGACATAGACGTCTCTTAGCCATGCTTTTGCATTCTCAAAGTAGTCAGACGGGAATAGGACT